ATGTGAAGATGATGTAATTAAGTACGGACCTAGACCTAATTCATGTTTTAACTTTTAGGCTTCTAGCCCACTAGCCCACGTTCTGTTATTCTTTTTGTTTGTTTTCACTTATTAAACCATTATGCCAACGAGTTGACCGAGTTCACCGCCTCGACCGATTTGCACNGACGTGGTTGACTTGAACNGATTTGTGANGATATAGACCGAGTTTTGAAGAGCNCCGATTTGTTCCTCCGATATGGGCATAATCGTTTCGTCAGGGTCCGAGTTACCGATTAATCGCCGATTTGGCCGATTTTTTGAACCTTGATATATATATATTTGTTAGTGTTAATTTGTTAATTTTAGTTCCATATATTCTTCGAGACAAATCTCCAATAGTGTTTCTTTTGTCTATACTTTCTTGTCACTTGTCACTTTACTTCCTTGAATTATTTTTCCAATTTAATACATAGAAAAAAACGTTCCACCATTTATGTATATATATCAATTTTCACTGTAGGTCGAAAACATCGCATATATATTACATATAACTAATTTAGTGAGGCCATTAGCATTGTACTTTGTTCCTAATTATCCATTGTCGTACACACTAAAGTACACTACTTTTTAAATTTCGATATCAGCAAAAGAACCATGTTAATATTACGCTTTCTAAAAGAACCAATTAACCTCTCTTTCTTTTGTCAATTGACTTGAATAGTCGTTGATTAGATCACCATTTTCATCAAGTAATTTGTTTCCAAGTATGTAATAATCTAAAACACAAATTATAATAGAGGGAAACAAGGTTTTTAAATTATTCACAGCAGTAGGGTCTCGCACGCATAAGTCACGTGATTCTGTTTCCTGACTGAGAAACAATAATGATTCTCGATGCTTCGTGTCATATACTTAGACCAATCGGAGTTTCTTAAGACAGCCAAATACTTGTCCTACTCGGTAGACACGTGACGAATTTATACCGGTTTTGGATTGCAAAATCCGTGACCAGTAATTCCGGTCAGCCATTCTTTTTAAAATTTTTGTTTTCTATCGTTACACATGCAAATGAAACAGTGTAAAATGACAAGATCTATGTAATTTATGATTTGTTTGATTTTAACAGTGACCTTTTTAGAATTTTTTTTTTAATTTTAATCATTCAAAACAATAACTCGTGGTCAATATATAGCTCCTATAGAATCATCGATTCGTATTTTTCATTACAAGTTAATGAGCTAAAATAATTAGATTAAAAGTGAAATTTATTTAAAAATATATGTTGAAAATATAAATCGATATATTTTATAAAAAGAAAATTGAGTACTAAACCAACACTGATCATCATGAAATGGAGCGAGTATATAAGATAATGATTAGTTAATCAAATGATGCAATCGGGAGCTTATATGTAATTGAGCCTAACTAATGAAAGAATGACCAAAAAGATACTGGTCTAGCGATAACATAAGAAAATTGGTTTTTTGGTGTCTCAGGTTCAAATCCCTTTTGGGACGAAAATTTATTCTTTAAATCAGAATTTCCAAAAACCTCTGAATACCGAAAAGATTATAAACCAAACATTTGGAACTTTCACGG